GTTCCTCTCGCAGCAGAGCTCCCTGTCTCAGCTCCCCAGTCGTTCCATGGAAGTGAGTCTTTGGCCTTTAGCAGATCAGAGCAGGTCTCTCCTCAAGTAGCACCTTCCTGCATGTGGAAGGTCCCCCTCTCAAACGTGAGACTCAGAGGGACGTGTGCGACCCCTCCCTGCAGTCGGGCTTCTGTCAAGGACTGCATGGAAGAGAGCACGGGAGGCTTCTCCTCTCAGCCACTTGGCTCTATGTCACCCACTGTCAGGCCTCAAGGAGGAGAAACAGGACGTTCTTTGGACTTGAAAACTTTCTCTGTGTCTGCCAGGTCAAATCTGGCCAAATGGTATTTTCAAATGTTACTTTTCTTTTGAAACATGACCTAACATGTATATTTTTTATTAAACTAGGTTTTACGAGAACTTATTGAAAACACAAATAGGCAGGTCACCCAGCTTTGTGGAATTGTTTCAAGCGTACAGCAGTCTTGGGAGAACTCACTGTCGCAAAAACGTGTAAGTGTTATGCAAATATTTTTACGACTTTGAGAAACCTCTAGTTCCTGAAGATACCAGTCTATTAGAAGTGATAGATCACTAGTAACTCTGTGAGATAAGGCAAGCCTAGACTTCACTTTAGTAGGAGATAGCAAACTACAAGTGTTGGAAGGAGGCCGAAGTTTAGATTTGATAAACTATGACACAGAATTTTATGGTGGTATTTGTTGTGAATGAAATGCAATGACGATACAGGACTGAAGAGGAATAAAAGTGATAAAATCAGAATGCAGCGTTTATCCTTAACAATGGAAAATGATATTTCAAGGAGAATAGGTATGCGTGTTTCTACCCACTTCTTGTTTTATTGCCTAAGGACGTGTGCACTTGCCAAAGAGAGACAGAGAGAGAAAGCACCATCCAGTGATCATGCTGCAGTCCTGTCTCCATTTCTTTGTCCTCTTCGCATAGAAAGCACCCTTGCCCATGCACCCAGTATTTTCGTTTTTTCTTTTAAGCTGCCATGGCTGAGATTTGAACTCTGGTTGGCCATATGGCATCTGGCTTCCTTAAACACTAGGCTGCAGGCTGGGTAACCAACTTTAAAAAAAATTAATCAATTAATCTATTTGTTGTGATTTAAAAAAAAAGTTTCATTTAACTGCGTTTATTTTTTCATTTGTTTATTTCAACTTAACCAAAGAGGGACAGAGAGAGAGAGAGGGAGAGGGAGAGGGAGAGGGCGAGAAAGTGAGAAAGTAAGCTGCCAGGTCCAGGACTCAAACCACAGTTGGCCATGTGGGAATCCAGCACCTTTAACCACCACACCACTTGCCGGCCCCACGTGTGTTGTGATTTTTAAGCCACCGGGTCTGGGACTCTTAACTGAGATTCGCCATGGTCAGCCACGGGAATCCAGCACCTTACCGCCATGCTACCTGCTGGCCTGGCCCACCAACTTTTAAGTCGTCTTCTCCTCCCCCCATAGGGCACGTGTGTGTGTGAGAGAGAGAAAGAGAGAGAGAGAGATAAAACTACCCAATTGGATGTGGTTGTGCTGTAATCCTTGCTCCTCCAATCTGTTGTGATTTTGAGCACACACATGTGCCATTTTTCAAGCCACTGGGGCTAGGGCTTGAACTGTGGTTGGCAATGTGGGATCTGGCTCCCTTAACCATTGAGCTATGGGGCTGGCCCTAAATCCTCATTTTTACTCAAAGCTGATTTATACTGGGTTGCTGTCATTTTAGAGGTCATCTGAATTGATACAAAAAAAGTTTTCATTGTATATGTCCTGGAGAAATTAAAGTCCAGGGACTGAAAAGCAAAAACAAAATGTTTAACTCATTCTCTTCTTTTATCCTGAACAGGGAAACCGTAGCTCATCCTTGCCAGGAGAAAGGCAGGAAGCTAATGCACAGGCCAACCCAGTAGGAACATCTGGGCAGTCAGCAGCGTGCTCTGAAGCACAGCAGCCGGGCCGCAGGGCGAGTCCACCGATGCCCCGAATTGTCTCCGCGCATTCGTTACAGCCATTCTTCATACCAGGCATCCAATATCCTGGTTGCCCTGTGTTCTCCTACTATTTCAATGAAGGAGCTGAAAATGGTATCATCTCATCTGTTCAAGCTAATACGGCAGTACCTGTGGCAATTCTGCCACATGGAGAGCCCCACATGGCATATAACCCTGCCATGATGAATCACTTGGCTTCGATGGAAAATGAAAGACAGAACCTAGGTACTACTTCATCTTTCTGCCTCCCTCCCAATTTGGGTGAATTTGGAATGACATGTATTACAAATAGCATCCTTTTATTTTAATTTAAAAGCATCCTTAATGCAAACTAGTGTTAATTATTTTTAAATTGTAAGTTTCATATCAAGATCAGTATTGAGTTGGAAAAGTCATGACATATTTTTGCATAGAAAAACATAGAAAATATGACTTTTCCGATGACCCAGTAGATTCAGATATAGTTGAAAGAAATATACCTTTGAGTCAGTTTTTCCCCCCAAGTGGTCATATCTTCTGTATTCATTTACGTGCTTGTGAATTTAATTCTGTGCATTTTTATCACAGGAGAAGGTTTGTTTGCTCACTACCATAGTCAAGGTGCAGAACATTTCTGTCACCACAAGGTTCACTTGTATTGCCACACCCATCCTCCTCTGGTGACCCTTCCCTTCCTATCCCTAACCTTTGACAGCCATCTCCATATTTCCATTACTTAAGTATTGTCATATAATTTGGTATATATTTGATAATATATATATAGTATATATATGATCTATCACTATATATATAACCTTTTGGTATTGGCTTTATTTCCACTCAGATAATTCAGCCAAGGAGGTTGGGGGTTCAGCCAAGTTGTTTGTTTCGTGACTCAATAATTCCTTCTTTTTTATTGCTGAGTGCTCTTCCGTGGTATAGGTATGCCATGGCTTAACCTATTCATCAGCTGTAGGAAATTTTGGTTTTATTTTCCAGTGTTTGACTATTAGGGGTAAGGTTGCTGTGAACATTCACGTACAGGGTTTTGTGTAAATATGTTTTTATTTCTCTGACACAGATACCCAGGAGTGCAATGGTTGGTCATACATTAATTGCATGCTTAGTTTCTTTTTGGAAAACAGCTTTATTGAGATATAATTAATGTTTACTTTGTACGTGCTGCTTTAACAAAATGCCAAAGACTGAGTAATTTATAAGGAGCAGAAATGCATCTTACAGTTCTAGAGGCTAGAAAGTTCAAGGTCAGTGTTACAGCAGGTTATGATTTCTGGTGAGGGCTGTACCCTGTGGAGGAAAGGATCACTGTGTCCTTACACCAGAGAAACACAAACTTACTGGACACCTTATAAAGCCCCCATCTTTTAATGTTATCACATTGGTAATACTTGAATTTTGGAGGGGACTCATTCAAATATGCAAAAACCCGTACATATTTAATGTACACAATTTGATGACTTTTGGCATATATATGCTTAGTTTTGTTTTAAAGGCTATTTTAAAAAATAATTATTTTATTTATTTATTTTAATTTGACCAGAGACAGAGTGAGAGAGAGAGAGGGAAAGTGAGAAAGCAAGCCTCCAGGTCCGGGACTTGAACCGTGTTCAGCCATGTAGGAGTCCAGTGCCTTTAACCACCATGTTGCCTGTCAGCCCCTATGCTTAGTTTTTTGAGAAACAGCCTGTTTCTCAGTACAGCTCTCTCTCTCTCTCTGTCTGTCTCTCTCTGGCAAGCACACAGGCCCTCTGACAAATAAAAAAAGAATAAATAAAAAAATAAACTTTTAATTGACACATAATAATTGTACATACAATTATTCAGTGCGTGAATACAAGGGATAATCATTATATCTTTTTTTGATTGAAGACTTTTCTTTAACCTTTTTAAAGGGTGAGCCTGAGGGGGACACATTCTTTTCGTTTTCCTTTATGTGTGAATATATTTATTTTCCCTTCTTTTCTTAAGGGTACTTTTGCTCAGTATAGAATGTGTGGATTGAAGTTCTTGTGTTATAACACTTGAAAACTTTTCACTTACAGAAATGCCACCAAATGCGGTCCCCAACCTTGGACACAGCACTGAGGCAGTGAATCACCCAACTTTGTTGGAAAATGACATTGGCCATAACGTTGCCTATTCATCTGTCTTTATCCCTTCTGATTCTGGTGAGTTTGAAATGATACATCTTACAAATACTAGATACACCAACATCCTTAATACAAGCAAGTGAACCTTTTTCTAGATCAAACCTTTTAATTTGGGATGATTTTAGATTCACTGTGCAGTTATAAGAAATAATCCAGAGAGATCCTGTTTATGCTTTAGCCACTTCCCCCAATGAGAACATCTTTACAACTGTAGTAAAATACACAACTAAGATACTGATACTGATACAGTCCACAGATCTTACTGAGGTGTCTGCAAGTTTAGTTGTATTAATTCGTGTGTATGCATTTAGTTCTATGCAGTTTTCATCACATGAGTAGCTTTAATGTCTACTACCACACTCAAGGATGTCTCATCTTGCCCTTTGATGATAGTGATAACTTCTCCATGTCACCCTTCCTTTCCAGCCTGCCCTATCTATAACGCCTGTCAACTACTGATCTGTCCTTTGTTTATAATTTTGTCAACTTCAAGGATGTTACACTAAGGGAATCCTATAATATGTAATCTTTGGGAACTGGTATTTTTGTACTCAGCATGATGCTCTGAAAACTTATCCAGGTCATTGCATGTATCAATAGTTCCCTCCTTGTTATTTTTGAATTTCGTCCCATGTCATGGATACCCTACAGGTTGTTTAATCATCCACCATCAATAGACTTATCTTTTTTTTTTTTTTCCTAATTCTTGGATATTAGGAGTGAAGTTTCCATGAACATTCATGGACAATTATTTGAATAAATATAAGTTTTCATTTCTCTCACACGAATGCCAAAGAATGCAATTGCTGGGTCTTACTGCAATAGTGTGTTTAATTTTATTAGATACTGCAGACTTTTCTAGAGAGGCCATTACCACCAGCAATATCTGAGTGGTCCAGTGTCTCTACATCCGTATGTCTGTTCTTTTCATTGTTCTTCCTTCCAGATGCTTCAGGTTCCCTTTTTTCATCATTTCCCTTCTGTTTGAATATCTTTTTTGGCCTTTATTTTGTTTCCCCCTACTGTGCAACCCATTTCGATGCCAGCAGCCCCCAGGCAGAGGCTGGGCAATGATTCGGGGCTAATTTGCTCTGACATGGGGTGCTATGAGAGGCCCAGGGGTATGAGCCTGTCATCTTTTTTTTTTCTCTTTCATTTATTTATTTTTACATTTTTCCACAAACATTTACTTTACATAGCAAAAAATTTTAGCTCATACTCCATAATTCTTGACAGTTTACCAACAACTTTCAAAATTTCAAAATACTGAATTTTAAAGATAATGTTCAAGATATGCCTTATAATTTTGTGTAGTTTTATAACTCTATAACAACAGAAGCAGTATGGTTTCAAATATATATATATGTATTTTTTTTAGAGTGCAGACACTCGGTATATATTAAGTGGGGACATATAATGCCTCTCCTTCATAGCATGTGAGCCTGTCATCTTTAGCATTTATTTTTCCTTTTATGTAAAAAATGTCTTTATTTTCTCTATACTCTTCTAGGACAGTTTTGCTGGGTGTAGAATTTTATTTTATTTTTTGAAATTGAGAGTTAATTTTCCATTAGCCTCCTTAATTCAAAGCAGAAGTAGCTCCTTCTTAAAAAATTCAGCCTTTAATTTTGAGATAATTTCAGATTCATATGTAGTTGTAAGAAATTATACAGAGATCCTTTCAGAGTGAGAAAACACAGAAGACTGTGCTCATTCTGATATGTACACATGAACGATTTCAAGGTCCAACTGCTCTGCAACATTTATGATTTACTCATTTCCCCTAATGATAACATCTTAAAGAATTATAGTAAGCTGTCACAACAGGATATTGACATTACTAAATCCGTGTGTGTGTGTGTGTGTGTGTGTGTGTGTGTATTTTGTTCTATGCAGCTTTATCATGTGCCCTTTTACATGTCACCACCACAGTCATCATCACCATAAGGATTTCTCATATTGCCCTTTTATAACCATCTCCCTCTGGTCTCTGCTCCCTCTGGTCTCTGCTCCCTCTGGTCCTTACCCTGTCCTATCATTGACAATCAGTGATCTGACTTCCTTTTTTAAGAATTTATTTATTTGGGACCAGCAGTTAGCGTAATGGTCATGTCGCTGTACTCCCATGTAGTCAACCGCGGTTTGAGTGCTGGACTCGGTGGCTTAAACTCAACACCGGGCGCGTGTGCGTGCGTGCCCAAGATCCTGAGAGGAGAATGGAGGAGAAGGGATTGCAGCGTGGCTATCCCCCCTGGGGGGGTGATTTCTCACTTTCTATCTCTCTGTCTCTCTCTGTCTTTCTGGCTCTGTCTGTCTCTGTCTTTCCAGCGAGTGCACGTGCCCTATAGCAAAAACCTCTCCAAAAAATTGTATTTAACTTTATTTATTATTATTATTATTTTCCAGTTTGATTAGACAGAGAGAGAGGACATGAAAGAGGAATAGCTTGAATGCTGTAACTTAAATTGATGCAAATGTTATGTATACTTTTGAGTTTGGCATTTTTTTCCTAAGCAACATTTCTTTGAGATTCATACCAATTGTTTCATGCATCTGTAGTTTCTTCATATATCTGTTTATCCATTCATCCATTGAACGACCTCTGGGATGTTACTAGTTTTGGGCTATTACAAGTAAAACAAACAACATTTGTGCACTGTTTGTGTGTGTGTGTGTAATATGAATTTATGTGTTATTTTGGGTCATATGTTAACCCTTGTTTAATTAGATAAGAAACTAGTAAAAATATAAAAATATTGTTCAGAGGGGTTGTACCATTTTACTTTCTCATCAGCAAGTGATTCTGTTTTTCTGCATGTGTATTTCTTCTATTTCCGTTGTTTGTTCTTTCTTCCTGACGCTCAAAGATTCATTCTCTGATCATACGCTTTTTGTGTGGAGATTTTCCTCTTGTCTTTAAGGGTAAGACTATGAGGGGTAAGTAATTTTCATTTTCCTTCATGCGAGAATGTCTTTATATCTAGTACATTACTCAATAGTAATTTCATTTTGTATAAACTCCTGGTTGAAAGTTCTTTTTAAATTTAGTTCATCATCATCATCATTATTATTTATACATTCAGTCGCTATACATCATTAAGATCAGATGTCTTTATATCTAGTACATTACTCAATAGTAATTTCATTTTGTATAAACTCCTGGTTGAAAGTTCTTTTTAAATTTAGTTCATCATCATCATCATTATTATTTATACATTCAGTCGCTATACATCATTTAGATCAGAAAGAGAATTTATCCAACATGATATACACCACATACCAGGCGAGATGAGAATACTATACATGGCATCATCCACAGGCAGCAAACCATAGCAGTGTCCCACAAATGTCTTACTTCTCCATGTTTTCCCAGGTATCCCTGTCTGCACTCTCCCCCTCTCCCACTCTCCTTCCACTTTGTCTTTTTAAATTCACAGTAGAGCATGTGAGCATGAATAAGCATGAAAACTTGGTGAGCACACTCCATAGGGGTCATGTTGCCATCCCCTTCCTCTAGTCCTCCAGCCCTTTGGACCTAGGGTACTCACATGCATGCCCTGCATGTTTCAGACTGGTCAGGGGTTCAATCCGCAGTTACCATGTGGGATCTGGTTTCTCTAGAGCAGCGCATTACCACTGCACCACAGAGCTGGCCTGAGAGTTCTTTTCCTAAGTTCTTAAAAAAAATGTTCTTCCTATAGGTGTGCCAAGAGTAGCAGAAAACACCGTGGAAAACAACCGTGAGGCAGCAAATTATGCAACTGCACCGGGAAATGTCAATGGCCAGTGTTCGTCCTCTTCATCTGGCTGCCACGTGCCTAATTTTGGTGAGTTTTAGATGATACATATTGTAAGTGGCACTATAGAATCTGGATTTATCAACATCCTTAATGCAACTAGCTTTATTTCAAAATTAAGCTTTTATTACTGTTTTTTAAGAGGTTTTTGCCATAGGGTTTTTAAGAGGTTTTTGCACTTGTTGGAGAGAGGTAGAGATAGCCAGAGGGAATGTGAGAAATAACCCCCTGGGGGAATGACCACACCAGAATCCCTTCTCCATTCTCCTCCTGGGATCTTGGGCATGCACGCACACATGCCCAACATGAATTTCAAGTCACTGGGCCCAGGACTCTAGCCATGTAATCACTTCACCACCTGCTGGTCCCCAAAATTAAGCTTTTAATTTTGAATAATTTTAGATTCCACATGTGCTTGTCAGAAACAATGTGAAACAGGGACCAGCAGTTAGTGTAATGGCTATGTCGCTGGACTCCCCCGTAGTCGACCGCCGTTTGTGTCCCGGACCGGGCGGCTTAAAACTCACGCCCGGTGCGTGTGCGTGCGTGGCCAAGATCCCAAGAGGAGAATGGAGGAGAAGGGATTGCGGCGTGGCCATCCCCCCTGAGGGGTGATTTCTCGCTTTCTGTCTCTCTGTCTCTGTCTGTCTGGTGAGTGCACGCGCCCTATAGCGAAAACCTCTCCAAAAAAAAAAAAGAAACAATGTGAAACAATTCCCTTTACACTTCACCCCTTTCTCATCTTGCAAAACTATAATAAAATAATGCAACCCGGATATTGATGTTGATATAATACACAGATGTTATTCAGATGTCCCTAGTTTTACTTGTAGTCATCTGTGTGTGTTTTTATTTATTTCTGTGTAAATTTCTTACATGAATAGATTTGATTCTATCACAATGTCCAAGGTACAAAACATTTTCATCACTGCCAGGCCACCTCATCTTGCTCTTTTATAACCACACCCACCTCTCCCAGATCACTGTTACCTTTTTCACTGCCTGTCCCCTAGCCCCTAGCAAACATTGGTCTCTTAAACTTGGTCACTTTAACAATGTTATATAAAAGGAATATTACGGTATGTGTGTTCTTTTTTCCACTTAGCATAATTCCCTGGTGACTCACATGGGCCATTTTGTGAATCAGTAGTTTTTCCCTTTTTATGTCCATGGTTAGGATATACAATAGTTGTTTTTAATCATTCACCCATTGAAAGATAAGTTTCTTCCTCTTCTGTCCCTCAACTTTTGGTATTAAGAGTCAACTGTTGGGGACCAGCAGATGGTGTAATGGCCACGTCGCTGGACTCCCATGTAGTCAACCACAGTTTGAGTCCTGGACCCGATGGCTTAAACTCACCCAGTGCGTGTGTGTGTGTGCATGCCCAAGATCACGAGAGGAGAATGGAGGAGAAGGGATTGCGATGTGGCCATCCTTTCGGGGGTCGGGGGGCGGTGATTTCTCACTTTCTGTCTCTCTGTCTCTTTCTGTCTTTCTGGCGAGCGCACGTGCCCTATAGCAAAAACCTCTACAAAAAGAGTCAATTGTTAATGGGCATTTGTGTACTGTTTTTTGTGTAAATGTGTTTTCATTTCTTGGTCATGAATGCCAAGTGTGCAATTGCTGTGTCTTTTTTATTTATTTTTTAGAGAGAGAGTTTTGTTATGAGGCACATGTGCTCACCAGGAGACAGATAGAGAGACAGAAAGTGAGGAATCATCCCCCAGAGGGTATGGCCACACTGCAGTCCCTTCTACATTCTTTTCTTTGGATTTTGGGCATGCATGCCCGTGTGCCCAGCGTGAATTTTAAGCTACCATGTCTAGGACTTGAACCACAATCGACCACATGGGAGTCCATTATACCATCTGCTGGTCCCACAATTGGTGTGTCTTATGACCATGACATATTTTGTCTTAATAGAAACTGCCAAACATTTTTTCCAGACAGGCTGTACTATTTTTTGTTTTCAACAGCAGTGTATGAGTGATTCAGTTTCTCCATATTGATATTTCTTAGCTTTCCATTGTTTTTTCTTTCTTCCTGCTGCTCCCAATTTCTTTCTTTCATCCTATCCTTTCCATTTGAAGATTGTTCTTTAGCCTTTTATATAACTAAGTCTACTAGGGACCAGTTCTTTTAGTTTTCTTTTGTTTGAGAATATTTTTATTTCACTTTTTCTGGAAGGATAGTTTTACCTCCTATAGAATTCATGTTTGAGCATTTTGTTCTTTTGGCAGTTGAGAAAGTTCTGCTTCTAGAATTGCCAGGAAGAGTTGAAACCAACCTGGAAGACAACTCTCAGACAGTGTATTATCCAGCTTTGTTGGGAACTCTCAGTGGCCCAGATGATGGCTCTTCATCTCACTCCGTCCCTTCCAATTTTCGTGAGTCTTAAGTGATACATATTACAAGTAGCACTTTTTAATTTAGATTCACCAATATTAAAAAAAATTATTTCTTTCATAAGCAAGGTGGGGGAGGAAGGGAGGAGATAGAGCGTGAGCGAGCAAGAGCGAGAGTTCCCCACAGGGTCCTGACATCGCAATCTACCCCCAGCCTCAGCCAGCCCTAAGCCAGCCCCCATGGACTTGTATGTGCCATGATGCTTGGAAGTTTCTTGGACTTGAACCAGGAACCTTCCCATGTGGGAATGCTTCTCAGAGCATCACATTTCTACTGTTGTGCTACTATCTATCTGGCCTTTCACCAACATTCTTAATATTTTTAGAGGTAGCTTTAATTAATGTTTCTGTGGGGCTAGCAAGTGAGATGGTAGTTATGGTCCTGGACTCCCATATGGCCAACTGCAGTTCAAACCCTGGGCCTGGTAGCTTGAAAATAATGCCAGCTGCATGTACGTGTGTGCCCCAAATCCCAAGAGAAGAATGGAGAAGGGATTGTGATGTGGCCATCCTCCTTGGGGGATGATTTCTCACTTTCCTTCTCTCTGTCTGGTGAGCACATACACCGTATGGCCAAAATCTAAGAAAAAAAAAATTAAGGGACTAGAAGGTGGCATAGTGATTAAGGTACTGGGTTTCCACATGGCTGACTGTGGTTCGAGTCCTAAGCCTGGAGGCTTGAAACTCATGACAGGCATGTGTGCGTGTGGGCCCAAAATCCTGAGAGGAGTGTGGAGGAGAAGGGATTGTGATGTGGCCATCCTACCTTGGGGGTGATTTCTCACTTTCTCTCTCTGTGTCTCTGGCAAGCATATGCATCCTATAGTAAAAATTTCTCTCTAAAACAAACATAAAAAAATTAAAGTTTTCATTTTGAGGTATTTCAGAATCACATACAAATGTTAAGACGTAATACAGGTCTTGTGTATTATATATTACAAAACTTTCCTTAATTCTCCTAATTCTTAATTTTCTCCCCTTTACTTAATTTCGTCTAATAATGATATTTTGCAGAAATACAGTGAAATATCACAACCAAGATATTGACATTGATACAATTCACAGATCTTATCGAGATGTCCCCACTTCTACTTTTTTTTTCAGTTTTGCTATAGGTCATGTGCACTTGCCAAAGAGAGAGAGAGAGAGAGAGAGAGAGAGAGAGAAATTACCCCCCAATGGGACGAAAATGCTGCGGTCCCTTCTTCATTCTCCCTTTGGGATTTTGGGCATGCACACATACACACCCAGTGTGATTTTTCAAGCTGCTGGGTCTGGAACTTGAACCGCGAAGTCAGCCTTGTGGGATCTAGTTGCCTTAACCTCTGTGCCACCTGCTGGCCCCTTGGTTATACTTTTATTCACTTTTGTGTATACTTTTTATATTTAGTACTATATGGTTTTATTCCATGAGTAGGTCTGTATGTCTGTCACCACAGTCAAGGTAGAGGTCATTTTCATCAGTACAAGGAGCCCTCGTTTTGCCTTTTGATAATCACACCCTACTCTCTTGGGTGACCCTTCCCTGCTCTCATGACCTGTCCCTACCACCTGACTATCATTGATCTCTATAATTTTATCTCTTTAGATTGTTAGGTAAGTAGAAAGTAGAATCATATTTGGGACTAGCTTTTTTTTTCACTCACCTTGATTTTCTGGAGATTCATCCAGGTTGTGTGAAGTAATATTTCATTTCTTTTGTTGCTGAGTAGTATTCCATGGTATGGATATGCATTTTGTTTAACCGTTCACCCATTGAAGGATATCTGTGTTTTTTCTAGCTTTTGTTTATTGAGAGTAAAGCTGCTATGAATATTCATGTACACTCCTTCCTGTTGATGAATACTTTTTATGATGTAGATATGAACAGTTTTTTAAAAACCATTCATTCATCAAAGGACATAATTTTTCTTTCTAGTTTTTTCGATATTATAAGTAAAGCTGCAGTGAATATTTATGTACTGGTTTTTGTGTAAATATAAATTTTATTTCTCTGTCATAAATGCCAATGAGTACAATTGCTAGGTCTTATGTAATGGCATATTTAGCTTTTTAATTTTTTTAATTTATTTTTTTGGAGAGGATTTTGCTCTCCAAAGGATGTGTGCGCTTGCCAGAGAGACAGAGAGAGAGAGAGAGAGAGAGACAGAAAGTGAGAAATCACTCCCCAGGGGGGATGGCCATGCCGCAATCCCTTCTCCTCTATTCTCCTCTCAGTATCTTGGGCATGTGCACACACACGCGCCCGATGTGAGTTTAAGCCACTGGGTCTGGGACTCGAACCGCAGTTGACTACATGGGAGTCTAGCGACACAGCCATTATGCTAACTGCTGGTTCCAGCTTTTTTATGTTTAAGAGAGAGATTTTTGCTACAGGGCACATGCCAGAGAGATAGAGAAACAGAAAGAAATCACTCTCCAGGGGGGATGGCCACGCTGCAATCCCTTCTCTATTCTCCTCTCTGGATCTTGGGCACATATGCACGGAGTGAGTTTTTAAGCCACAGGGTCTGTGACTCAAGCTGCAGATGACTGTGTGAGAGTTAAGCGATGTAACCATTAACACCATCTCCTGGTCCCAGCATGTTTAGTTTTATTAGAAATTGCCAGTTTTCCAGAGAGGCTGTGCACTCTAGTATTTCCAACAGCGATGGAAGTATAGATGGTCTAGGTTCTCTATTTCTGAGTTTTCCATTGTTCTTGTTTCCTGATGCTTCAAGATTCCTTCTTTTGTAATATCCTTTCTGTTTAAGGATTTTCCTTTAGCCAACTTCTTGTCTTTCAGTACTTGAAAATGTTATACTCGTAGAAATGCCGGAAAACCCAGAAACCAACCAGGAAAACAACCCTCAGGGAGTGAATCACCCAATTCCATTGGGAAATAACAGTGGCCAATGTTCTGCCTCTTTATTTCCCTCCATCAGTGCCAAGTTTGGTGAGTTTGATTGACATGTATTACTAGTAGCACTGTTTACTCTAGATCTATCAGCATCCTTAATGAGAAGCTGGTGGTAGCTCTTTTTTGAACTAAACTTTTAATTTCATGAAATTTAAGACATGCATGTAGTTAAAGGAGATAATACAGACAGATACTCTTTACGTTTTACTCATTTCTCCCACCACTAACACCTTGCAAAAATATAATAGAACATCACAACCAGGATAATGATACTGGTTTGATCCGCAGACCTTATGGAGGTTTCCCCATTTTTTGGTGCTGATTTGCAGGTGTGAATTTAGTGCTATGCAGTTATGTCACATGAATGGGTCTGATGTTCATGATGGCAGTCAAGATACACATTTCCATCACCACCATGATGCCTCGTGTTGCCCTTTTATTTACTTACCTTTTTAAGTTTTGCTATCAGATGCATGGGCTCTGTGGAGAGAGACAGTGAGAGAGAGAGTGAGGGAAAGTGAGAAATCACCCCTCTGAGGGGATGGCCACACCACAATCCATTCTCCTCCAGTTTCCTCCTGGGATTTTGGGCAGGCATTCGTGTGCCTGTCATGATTTTCAGGCCATTGGGCCTGGAACTTGAACTGTGGTTGGCCATGTGGGAGTCCAGTGCCTTCACCACCACACCACCTGCTGGCCTCTGTGTCAGCATTCTTAATGCCAGATAGTGGGAGCTTTTTTTTTTTTTTAAAGTTTTTATTTTGAGAAAAATCTAGTTACCCATGCAGTTGTAATAAATGATACAGAGATCCTGTGTTCTCATTACCCAGTTTTTTTCCCAATGGTAACATCTTGTAAAACTATAGAAAATTACTACAACTGGGCTATTCACATGCTGTCATCCGCAAATATTCCCATGTCCCTGGTTTTACTTGCACTCACTTGTGTGCATGTATCCGTGTATATTTGAGTTCAGTTTTATCATTTGTGTAGGCTCATGTATCCTCTACCACAGGTAAGCCCCCAGTTTTATCACCACCATAATCATTCATATTACTCTTTCATTTTACCAAAGGAGAGTGTGTTATTTGTACATACAGAAAACTCAACAGCATACATTTAACCCAATTTGGTGAGGAGTTCTTCAGCTTTTGCCTTTTCCAGCTTAGCAATGGGAGCCATGGATTTCCGGTCCAGGACATTGCCTCCTTAGTGATGGTGGACCTCATCACATCTGTGATTGGAATTGGTCCTGATGGCTTCCCCCAGCTTAGCCAGGGTGCCTTTGTCCTCCAAGTTCACCCGTGTCAAGGTGACTTGTGGACTGGGGTCCCAACCTGGTCTTCCCCTTGATAATGCAGTAGGGAACTCCCATCTTCCAGCATAGGGCAGGCAGGAAGACAGCCAGGGTGCTGTCATGCTTCATGTGAGTTTACCACCCACTGAGCCTTCTTATTCTCCACCAAGGTTGTGACAGTGTTGACCCCTGCTTGGAGGACCGGCGGCCTCTTAGTGGGGACATTCCCTTTGCTAGCAGCTTTCTACTCACCCCGGATGAGCAGGCGCTGCTGCTTCTCTCATTTTGTCTCTGGCTTCTACTTGTGGGCTATCTTAATTAAGCAGCTGAGTAGCTATCTGGCAGTCCAGAGCCTGGGTGAACTGGTTAATGACAGGAGGCACTTTTACCACTTGCCGAGGACAGCCCTCTGCCGTTGCAGCCGTATGTAGTGGGGCCATTTGACGAAGTAGGTGAGGTCCCTTTTGGGCTGGATGTCCTGTCCTATGCCGAGATTCTTAGGCCTTTACTCAAACGGGATCTACCAGTTTCTCGGCTTCCTGCTTCTTCATGACAGCAGGGGCCAGAGCTGCCTTCTTCCTTTTGGCCTTCTTTCCCTTTGGCATCTTGGCGACTGGAGGAGGGAGCCATATTACGCTTTTACAACCATACTCACCTCTCTCCAGTTAACATTTCCCCTCTATTCTCACCCCTGCCCTGTTTCTAACTGCTGGCAACCACTGATCTGTTCTCTAAATCTATCATTTGTTGCTTCAGTGTTACCTAAAGGGAATTATGTGGTATGTAACCTTGTGGGGTTGGCTTTCTCCCCCCAGTGTAATTCCCTGAAGACTCATCCAGTCGTGGGTATGTCAGTCTTTCCTTTTTATTGCTGATGAATAGCCCATGTTATGACTGTACCATAGTTTATCTGTTCATCCATTGTCCATGCCTTTAATTTAAAAAACATCTTCTCCTAGATCAGTGTCCTGCATGGTTTTCTTCTTCAGCCTTTTATAAATTAAAAACAAAAGAATGGAAGACATTAGAATAAGATTAATGGTTCAGTACACTTGGTTTCCAAACAGACCGGCTTAGATTTTGAAACTGGCTCTGTAACTAGCAGTGTGACCTTGTTCAAATAACTTCCATTCTGTGGGCCTCCGCTTTGTCACCTGGTAAGTAGGAGTAATGATTAAACTGTTTGATTGATGAAACAGCTGTAGACGTGATATTCAGCATAGTGCTTGATACATAGTGGCTACTCAATAAGTGATAGCTGTTTGAAAATGTTCTTAGTAATCCCCACTCACACTTGTGAATTGTTTTCAGGGGATATATACTCACTCAGAAATAGAGCACTGAGCACACTTTTGAGACTGTAAAAGAGGGCAGTAGGAATTAAGAGCAACGTGTCTACACATGCACGTGCAGCCTACAAGTTAAATTTATTCAAGTCAGTGAACAGATGAGTTCAAATGGAACGAGTTGATGGCAAAAGTGAAGAGTTGGCAGTTGGGCATCAGAGAGACCCATTCAAGGGAAAAGAAGAGATACCTGTAGGAAAAACTCCACCCAAGTAGAAATGTGTGCATTAGAAATTGGTTTAATTATTCTGAGCACTTATATGGTATCCTTGCATGATAAAAACAAGGATTTTCCTTTCCCCTTTGATTTTTAAAGAGTATCTTGGTGATCCACAAAGAAATGTGAAGGTACTTGAAGTTCATCTGGTGATCGCACAAAGGAAGCCCAGACCCCAGCTGGCAGCTCGATACTTGGTTTGCGTTTTGTTCTCTAAGGAAGTCCTGATGCGCAGCTCTGTGGATGTCAATTCCCAAGGCCGCCCACCCCTAGATCCAAACATTTTGGCGGCATTAAGAGGTACGGCCAGTGACCGTGGAATCTTGCTTTTATGATCACTGGGTCATGTGATGAATGGTATTATTACCAGTTGAAGAAGTAGCAGTGAATGAAAATCTTTGCACTGTTCATGTTTTCACCTATCTGATCCAGATTTTAGTTTAATAATACGTGATAGGTAATAACTTTTCGAGAATAAACTGGTCCACAGATGGGTAGAATAAAACAAGCCTTATTGATAGTTGCTTGTGGTTAGTTCTAAGTCAGTTTTTTAGCATTGAAACTTGCTAGTAAAAAATAAAGAATAAGGCAGTAAGAAGAGAGTTGGGGAAGAAAATGGATTTTTTTGATGTTAGTAACTGGCAACCAGGAATAGTATCTCGTGGTTAGTCCACTTTAGCCTCCTGTCTTCCAGAAATGTGAATTGAGTCCTAGAACTCATGAGTACTGAGGATCCCACTCCACATAAGTATTTTTTGCTCACAAGGAGCGCACAGTGTAGGAAGGGACATGTTGATGGACACAGATGACTTCCAGTCCAGTGCAGTCATGTTGGGAAGGTCAGAGAACAGCTGCTTTGAGGAAGTTGGGAAAGGCTTTGCTGGGGGCAAGGCATTTGAGCTAGATTCTGAAGGATTTCCTAGTTAGGTGGCGGGAAGAGGCAGGGTGCTTTAGGCAGAGGGCAAGGTAGACGTGATATAAGGACATGAGTAAGTAGGCCCTAGTGTAATAATGTTTGCATACCATGAGGGGTGTTCATAAGGTCATGGAGAAATGGAATTGAAGTATGACTTTATTTTGATGTAAACTAATTTTGAAATCTTCATATCATTTTTTCATAATGTGCATTTTTACAAACTTTTCAAAGATCTTTAGCAGTTTCTCTTTACAGGTTTCCTCTTCTTTTAGTTCTTATTTATCCTTTAGGTTATTAAATGGTCTTAGCACCCTGAAAAAACTGATTTTTGGCTATGTACTGTTTTTTTAAGCACCAGGACCTCTGTATTGGTTTCCTGGGTTAGTGTTTCAGGGCATCTCTGTTAGAGGAAATGAGATAATTCAGTGAAGCATTCTCATTGGATGGAATTTATAAACTCTCAGAAAGAGAAAAACAAAGACAATCAGAAAGATGATAAGTCAGTATTCATTATAAATAACATTTTCTTATTAGGTTCCTTGCTGAATTGTTCCTAATTTTTGTGAATACTTTCTGCCGTTTGCAGAGTATCTGGCAATGATTTTCCCCAACCATGATATGAGTGAAGGTGGAAGAGAATGGAGAGCCTGTATTGCTGATATCAGTTCTCTGATCCACTGTTTATGTTTGGAAGCCAAGAAAGCATCAGTAAGTTACTATTTTTTTTTCATGTAACTATGGTATCTGCTATATAGGTCCATACCCACGTACAACTCTGGAATGGCAAGTAGGACTCAAGGATCTTCATGCTGTGTGCTAAAAATATCATTTATTTATGGGGCAGAGAATGTTCTTTCAAAGCATATGCCTGGGGGCCAGCAGGTGGCCTGGTGGGTAAGGTACTAGACTCCCACATGGCCAGCTGCTGTTCAAGTCCTGGACCTGGTGGCTCTCTTTCTCACTTTCTCTCTCTCTGGTAAGCATACATGCCCTATGGAAGATTGAAGAATGATAATAATAATAATAAAAAATAAAATTAAGTAAACATTCTTAAAAAAAAAACTACTTATTTATTTTACTTGTTGACAATTATGCTCTTTAAAATACCATAATTGTTTCTTGGCTTTTGGCTAAGATCAAGTATAAAAATTTCCTGATGTATTTTTTTTTCTCCTGGAATTTTTAAAAATTAATTTACATTCATTCCCTGAGCATCATCACAACATACTAAATGTGGTTTCCCGTCTAGAATAAACTGCATAGTGGCTTAATCATGCATGTTATCATCCATACTATTCCATTTCTACTTTCATGTATATATGTTTTTTAACCCCATGTCTGACCCTCTGCCCTATTCCACTCTTATTACACTATCTCTGCTGTCTACAGTTGTCTTCAATTCCTTTCCCCCCAACATTTTGTTGATCACACAATATCATAGGCAATCTAACTGCTTTCAATAGGTAGTTCAGCTGGTGGTTTCAAGAAAAGCAGTTTTGAACTGGTAAGGATATTT